CAATAATTTTTTTATGAATCTTAGCTAATACAGAATGTCCTCCCACACTAATTGAATTATCAAGTGAGATTGTTCTGAATGCCTTGTATTCTTTCTACGCAAGTGAAATAAGGTTTGCCTTGGGAGTGTTGCCTGATTCATTGATCGAGACCATAAATTACCATAACCGTGTGAATATTCACAACTAATGAATGGTTAAATCAGTTCACGATCCACAGACTGGGAATGGGATTATGGTTGCATTTGAAGCTGATTCAGTTGTTTTTAGCCTGGTTGTACTTGGCAGTGGTGTGCAATCGGTCAGGCTGCTACTGTGAGTGAACTTTCGCCATCACACCATTATCGTTGGGTCAGTCATCTACAACTAATCGCCAGACGGTTTAGTAGAACAGGCCATTTGCGTTACCCAGATAAAGGACTGCCATTGGCCGCCGACAGACTGATGCGCACATACTTTGAGATACCAAGCCATGTTGGGAACCTGTGAATATGCATTACAAAAAAAAGGTGTGGTAACCAGCCAAGGTCGTGGAGGTGAGCGTGATTTAATTTGTCGTGATGCAAAATTACTTCTACTCTTCCCATGGTTCATCAGGTAGGCATAGTTTCCGAATTTTCCTACCTAATCGCCCAGTTGTATGCAAGTGGATTCATGCGCTCAACTGAAAATAAACTTGGCGTTAACGGGAGAGACTCAGCTGTTCATCAGATGATTACCTCATTTAAGATGATTACAACTGCGTGTTCTGCACAAACGCAGATTGGTGTTTCAGCCAAAACAATATCTAGTTAAGATCTCCAAGTGTTTCCTTGATCCACCATCAGTGAGAACTCTTGGACCGCTCATTCCCAGTTTTGCCCTCCATGGAGCTCATCATGTAGGCTACTCCCCAACTTTCCATCGACTTTATTTCCTACTCATTTGATTTTCTCTTACTGGTTGAGCCGTTAAATCACACACGATTCCTGAAAAAACAATACGAAAAAATTTGGAATAGGTTCTCTTCATGGGTAAACCGTTAACAGAGATAATGCCAACGAATATTTACGTGTCGGGTAGCAGAGATGCCATATCGAGTTACGGTGCTGCGATGACTTTGCAACTATCATACTAATTTCGTGCAGGTGCCACAGTGCTGGTGTGGAGCTGAATATGAACGCTCCCCGTTCGGGATTAGACCGAACTGATAAGACCTGAAAATAGCGAAAACATCACTGTGTTCATCAGTCCTGTAAACATTGTCATACCAAAAATAAAACTTCCATTCCTTAAATATCGTCCTAACTTAATCATGTGACGGCCCTTTTCGTAGTGCATTCATTTGAATGTCATTATAAACGAGGGGTTAATTTGAGCCTTGCGTTAATACAGTCCGTTTGCAAATGCTTAGATCTTCATTCATTCAGTTCGCGGTTCAAATACAGAATAGGATTGGTTGTTAGCCTGTTCGCCGAGCTTGGCAGTTAGATTGCAGATGTTTCATCACCAATCGATGTGACATCGTCAGTGCCGGGTTGAGTGGGTGAACTCTTCTTCTTCTGCCTGTGCTTACACCGGCAGCTCCTAAACAGCATCTGGTAGTTCTGAAGGCGGATTTATAAAGATTTGAGGACTGATGAGCCCCAGAAAAGAAGAAAACGGCAAGTTTGACGAGTATAAATGATCAGTGTGTGTGTGTGATTGGCATGGTCATCAAAAGTGCTCAGCCAAAATCTGTTAGAAAATTTTCCGGTACATCCAAATGAAACCAGAGTTTGAGAAGCACGTGCGTACAGAGAGATTGCAGCCACCCACGTGACTGCAACGCATCTTGAACGCAATTTTGGACGAAGAACAACAGTCACTTGCAGTACATCACTCATACGTTTGCTGGAAACTCTTCGAGAGCTCACGACCAGTTTCGCCCTTCTTGGGGCTCATCAGGTAGGTAGAGTTCTCGAGTTTCCGTCATCCTCATTTTCAACAGCCAGTTGATCATAGTTCGACAAGTCAAGCGAGGAACCTTGATCTTTTTTGGATATCATTAGTATTCACTCTACTCACCGAGCCTCCATGTTGATCTTCTCTAATAATGTCCCATAAATGTGCATCAGTCACCAGAGATAAATCGTTACTCCCACAGTAATACGGCCGCCTCCCTGATACGACAGGATTTGCCCAATTGTTCAGAACCAAACCGAAGAAGGATACAATACAGTTGACCCAGGTGATACCTTTCAGAGACGACAGTTTGCTAGTCTGTTGAGGCGTCTATTGAACGTTCAGGATCCAGAGAAACCGAATGGAACCTCGGCTCAAATCTTTTTGTCTGACTCATTACCGAACGTTTTATGATCCCTGAGTGCTGCTTGTCCCGTGGATAGGAAAAGATGAACAACTCTTTTGAGTGCTTTGTGACTATGCCTATGCAGTTCGGCGATGAAATATGGGCAAGACCGTGTAACGGTTGCACCAGCCACCCCTCCATGTCTGTTTCACTTAGGATTATTCGATATCCCGCTGGATGTGATACTGCTTTTGAAGAATCCTTCAGGTTTAGGTCCACATGAGGGTCTAGGATGAATCGGTGCTCTGCGGAAATTACCTGAGAATGTTCACATTTATTTAAGAGAGCGCAACGAAACAAAACAACAAAAACGCTGGATAACAGCATACCGCAGTCGCCCTTTTGCTACCACTGTAGAGCCACAAGTAACTGGTTGTCATTGCCACCCGTACCCTAGGCTCCTCGATTGCTTGGAATCACCACTAATACATGGTCTGTTTAAGTATTTATGATAAGCTAGTTTTGTGTGCTAGAACACAAGTGATGATTTGGAAACACAGCAGAAGCATAGCTTTGACTATAGTTTCAACTGGCACACCCTTTCGGCGCCTAGTTGCTATGTCACCCGAGGGAAGCCAGGGTAATACCAGGGTGCCTAAGCCTAGACAGGGGCAGGCGAGATTCCAGGGTTATGTTCAAACCACGGTCCCCGCGTTCAGTAATTTATCGTCTGAGCTATCTCCAACTCCCAGAGAAAACTTGTAGCCTCTACCCATCTAGAAACTCTCAAACCTTAGTGTGAAACGGCGTGTTGTGAAATGTGACTTTGTGCTAGCCAGCTGTGCATTACGTCAAGACACTCGGACTGCAGGTGAAACATCAAACTCTGCAGGAGAACTGATCTCAAACGGACTGTAGTTTTTCACAGAAACGGCTGCAGCGCAGTAGTGGGTTGCTAAAAAACGCCAGAAATTTTTCGAGTTCAGGGAACGTCGAGCGGTGATGTCATAGTTGTGCTCGCAAGGAAATAGTGTCTTCACAAATCCTGAACCAACTCAGCCACATATCATCGCACAGGCCTTTGATTTATCACGAAGACACTGTGCATCACTCCAGTGCTGGCAGATTATTTAGAGTGGGAAAAGCCTGAAACTACAATGCTGACTGATGTCCTGAATGGCTGTTAGCTAATGAGCTGGTCTTATGCATTGCGCTTCCGTAGTGTTCCGGCTTGTGCACCTGTATTCCAGTTAGCTATACTGGGGCTCCTTGCGACACCCACAGTCTCTCACACCCGGTTGGTCAGTAGTTAGAGTTTTGGTCAACATTGCCTCCTGGTCCTGAAGACTGAGAGTTAGAACATGCATGCATAAGAACTATGATGAACTGGCATTTACCGCGGATTTGCTGTAAGACTTTTGAGCCAAAGGCTTCAATTGACGGCTTTAATTATCCTTTTTCTATACTTGAGCACCTTGGCAGTATTCTAGCCCGATTCAAACAATTAAAAATAGTGTCGTGCCACATCGACTGTTGCGCGATGTCATCAGCCGCGTTGCCGTACGTACTGCGCACAACAAGGTTACTGCTGACACCTCTGTTTCTCTCCTTCACACACTTTTTCTTCTTCCTCCCCAACCCACCAAAAATACTTCCCAATACTTTCCAAAGCCTGTACGTTATACTGGGATTTCAAAGGCCGGTGCAGTTCGGCTGGCCTATCCTAAGCAATAGGTCTCTCATAAGATCATGGTTTTGCACTTCACTTTTCCCACCCGATTACTAATACTCTCACTGTAGGTCCATCACTTAGGGCTGATAAACCCATTTGTCTTACACCGGTCTTTGTCGTGATATCTGCGGATCAGTCGGCGCTAACAAGCATCAAGAAACCGATCTCCAAGCCTCGAAGTCAGGGTCACCTGGCTGTTTTTAATGTTCGCACTTTGATGAAAGCAGGGCAACAAGCTGACCTTCCTGTCAAACTGGACTCACCTGACTGTGACGTGTGCTGCGTATCAGAATCCCAAATTCAAGATCTAAGTACAGTCACTGGGCTAACCGTATTACCAGTCTGTATGCGATTCCCGCTGCGCACTTCTGGCGGTCCAGTAACCATTGCATCGGGAAGTGCAGGGGTTGGTATGGTCCAAGCGGAAGGATCATTGTTTGCCCGGATACCCGTTGCTGGCAAAGTCCGAAAAGGAGTCACGCGAGCAGGAATTTGTGTCCACCCTGTCCACTTATAACCCAAACGACTGTAGCTCTGACACCACCAAAGTCAACTTCTGTTACACCCTGAGAGCCCTGTTACGAAGGACCATATATCGCTCTGGCTGCCGGGGGTTTCGGTGCACAAATGGATCGACTTTGCGCATCTGAGACTCATTTGGGTGTTGGACTTGGGTTAGACCCGGTATGCACAGGCAACGGCAGACCATGGATTTGGCTGTGTACTGAGCGCAGACTGTCTTTGTGCACTGCTCAAATTCGCAATAACCGGAGTCGTCTAGCCACACAATGTTCTCTAACAGTATGCCAGCCATGGAACCCAGTGGGTCACAATGCCATCAGTTACCGATTTCGTATATCTCTAACCGATTGCTACTCGTTTTGGAGCACTTGAGTAGATTCTGACCATGCACGATCCCAGAACCGCTTCTTTCCTCACTTTTCAGCTACGAGCTATGGGTCTGAAGATGAGAGAGTAAAAGATCCAGAACTTGAATGCACCTGTCATAAATGGTTTCTGGGCTATCTTCAAACTGCTGCACTATCCGATGTCGGGGATTCCGCCATAGGACACTGCCAGATCCACTCAAGAACTGGATATCAGACAGAATAAGGGTGTTGCTTGGAACTCGGAGGAATGTTACCGCCGGTCCCGATCGTAATTCAACCCGGAAGGCTAGCTTGATGGGTACGGAAAGCTAAGGAAATGGAAAAGGTGCAGAATACCGCGAATTCTCGAAGACTCCTTTAGATGAGCTGTGTGGCGGGTCCCAAAAAATCACCTTTGAGCGAAACTATACAAAATCAAACTGGTACGACCATCTTCAACAAAGCAGCACATCGCGATCACTGGGTCAAGCACTTTGAAGAAACATTCGCGTGGCCACTTGCTGTCAGATTCTTAAACTAAGCCAGAACCCTGAAGCATGAATCTGGAGGCCTCTACGACCTCGATTTATGACTGCATGCAATTCGCCAAGCCCCAGCGAGTTTACGGTCCGAATGATCTCGCACTCATATTTTCGAAGATGAGAGTGAAGCCTTTAGTTGTCACTTGTCTGATCTAATTGTCTTCATATGGAGAGTCCCGAAATGGGGAGAAACGATAATAGACATACCTCCAAAACGATCCTCGCGGTGAATTCGGTAATTGCAGAGATTAGCTTGGATTCGGTCGTAACGAGACCCTTAGGGTCACTTGTCCTTCGTCGCCTTATGGTGGTTCGGGGAGTACAGACTCAAGGGAAGCAAACGGGACTTTCTCCTGGTAGAGATTTCCTTGGCCAAAACTTCATCAGGTGCTAGAACAGTGCCATAGGTGTAAGCGACCACAAAACGCTAAAACGCATGTGGCTCTGTTGGCGAGCCCCGAAAGTTCGTAAATACAATAAGTTCCTCGTCTTTTGAGAATTCCAGGGGCAATTCAATGTGCAGGAAGCTCTTCAGAAATTTCGGTACAAAAAGTGGTGTCCAAGAGGACACTTGCTCCCTTCGTTCCTATTCACTTTTGTGATCCGTAAGGCGGCGAGAAAGACGTTGATTCCTCAAAACTCTTGCGTTCAGATAGCCGCTAACGTAAAATTTATCGATCTGTAATCTGCAGACGACATCGTTCTGATCTTCGAAGAGGTCAAAAGACACGGACACTCATAGTAGAGTTGACCGAATTCACTTCAACCCCCGTGTTGTGTTGTGCGGTGGCCGAGCTATTGGGTTACGCCTGCACTGAGCCTGCCAGACTACGCGATAGGGAGAAGACAGAGAACTGCGGACACGGCCGTATTGCCAGGACAAAACGTACAGAGCGTCTGCGTAAATATATAGGATGACTACTTGGCCAAATATGGTCGTTCACTTGTTCGCTCCGTACAGCCAACGGTGGTGTTCCGGTCGTGAACATTCTTAGGTCCACTACGCTGGTCGTGTGCCGCTAAGCCGCTTGGTGAAAGCCGCCAACTCACCTACTTTCCGGACGTGTCGAACCGATGATGACCTTGGGGATGCGTCACTCTCTGCACATGTGCTTTTTCTTGTCTGGGCGCGCCCTGACACCCTGGCATGCGCTTTCACCCACAAAGATCATGCTCATGTACATGCGGTCACCGCTGGCAATCCAAAGAGAGGCACTCGGGTGTTCTACGTATATTGGAAGCTTTATAAGCTCCGATTCCATTGTGACACACGAGTTCTGCGCACGACTCTAAGTGTCGGATCGTATTTGCCATTGTGAGACACCGATTCGGAGTGGCATAAGCAGAGAGGCGGTCAACCTTCGACCTAGCAGAGGGGTATGAAACAAATTGCGAAGAGCCTATGTACTGTCGGTATGACTCACCTTCCAGTATGGGGATCACATGATTCTTATTGGGCCTGGTTGGAAACGTTGCAAGATGTGGCCGTTAATCGATGTGAATGGCGTCTCTATTGTTAGTTTCTATCCAGGGTGCCTGAATAAGTGCCTGGAAGTGTAGGCACTTAGAAATGGTTGTTGTAGAATAGCACCAAGTCCTTCCCCATCCAATTTTATTCTTCTTCTATTCTCCAAATAAACTTTGTTTGCGCGGTAGCAAGTCAATAATCTTGTACATAAGATCATACTGAGAATGATTTGTATTGCGGCTAAATCTATTGATAAGGGATACCCCTTTGAAGACACTGTTCTCCTACGCCGAATGGAGAATGTAAGACACCAATTGTTTATTTAACCCATCTAACAGCACTGATCAACTAAGAGTAGTCGAAACGAACCTCATTTTGGAGGAACCAAGAAAATATGCTAGCGTTCACTTAAAAAACGCCACCCCCATACCGTCACTGGGATAGTTAATAACCTAGGACAGATGGCACCGTCCATTATAACACCATATTTCCCAGATTGTCGGTTGAAGCATCATTGGCAAAGGTAGCACAGGCAGGACAGTTACGTCATATGTCAGTGATTCTCCAAGACCGCTTGGAATACCAATCAAAAGAATGACGAGTGGATACATACACAGCAAAGAATGGTCAACGATTACTGGCATTCTCGATACGCCAATTGTGTCCGGAATGATTCAGAAGTGACACAGAAGAGGTTAGCATCGATAAAACAAAATATGGATTTTTTGATAAAGAAAACTGCTCACAATGTTGACGGAAACTCTCAGCAACCTGGTAAGTGGTTTTATTTTTATGAAAATATACTGCAATATCTCGAATATCGTAACAACTAAAACATGAGGCGGCTCTTGTGCAGCATATTCAGTTGGAGAATATCATAAACGAAAGGTTAAGGCAAGTCTCCCGTGAAAACCGAATTGATATGCAAATGAATGTATTTGTCGAAGCACGTGAGTGGTTCCACTATTCACTAACTCCCAGGAGCACTTTCATCTACCGTCCGGCAGCAATTTATAGTGCATAGGGAACGCAGCCAACCCAAAACACCTTGACCTAATGGAACTGAGTAACTTCGACTCGTCTACGTCCTCATGTCTCATCAGAGTTTGTTCCACGTCCGTTTTGACCTAAGAAACTCAGTGCAGATCAAGCAGTGAACCTGGGTCTCTTCAAACACATTGAGGGTAGGGAACAAATGGTCCGTCGAACTGCCTGCTTTCAATGTTACCAGTAGTTGCCTCGTATTCCAGATAATGTTGGTAGCTTAAGATCAAGTCGTTCAACTGTAGCACCCTTTCGGTGCCTAGCTGCCATGCCACACGAAGGAGGCACGAGGGCTGGGATACTGTCAGGTCGCCCAAGCCTAGACAGGGGAAGTCGAGTGGCAGAGGTCGGGTTCGAACCACGGACCTTCCGGTCAGTAAATTCACGCTCTAACAACTTGGGCTATCTCGCCCCCTAAGATCAAGTAGGATTGTTGGCGGTTGGTTTGTTTATTTAGACGGGTAATTCGGTTGCGGTCGCACCATATGGACCACATATTGAAAGACCAGTCAAGTCCAAAGCACCCAAATGTTTGCAACTACCCTCGCCCCCCGAGGCCAAGGGAAATCAAGCAAGCGGGAAATAGCCTACCTTTCCATCACACACTAAGGGTGACAATATAGGCCATGGACAAAAGCATAACCCCTGCTTTGTGACGTCAAGACAGAAGATAAGCCAAAGGACGAAAACACTCATTGTTTATCAGGAAAATAACCAACTATCCTGTGAGGCCAAATCAATGCGAATGCAACAATAGACAATCAAGGAAGTAATTTTGGTCAAGATTAGCGACTGTAAATAAACGGCAGTCCACCAGCAATGAATACCAAGGTCTACAGTGGTGGCCACTGAAATTGAAACTCACAGACGCACTTGACAGTAGAAATAAATAGGAATTACTAAGCGATATGATGAACAGCCGTACAGTTGCAGCCCCATCGAAAATTAAAAAGTCCCGGATACCGAGATTCACCCATCAGGAGAAAGATGTAAATTATGCTCTGCGTATTTAGGGTGCTACTGGTCCCGAAGGGTAAAGTAGAGACTACTGCACCTGAGAAGCACGAAGAGCAGTGAGTTCGTCACCATTCACATAACTGAAGTCGACGATCGTGCGAACTAGTCTTAGCCTTAACGAACAAACAAGAAAGTTGGCAAGGATCCTCCATACCCACACGAAAGATAAGCTAGAGGTGGTCGAGGAAGTTGATCAATGTCACCCTATCCAACTCAATGAGCTTTTCTGCACCCAGACGACAGATGTGTGTTTCTACGTTCACGCGCCCGTTGAAGTACGGAAAGAGCACACGTGCACCAAGTGACTCACCAATCCGGACGCAAGCAAGCCGACGATTGCTGTCATTCTTAGTGGAGTATCGACCTGTGACACAGCCAACGAGCTAGATTGCACGGGTGGACCCATACAACTCCACAATTTAGACGTGTGTTGGACTGACCTGCACACTCCCGATATCTAGGCGATCGATGCGGATATGTGGAGCGATGGAAAACATAGACAGGTGACACACATGTAGTCCAACCATCAAGCGCGCACACTACCTCAAACGCATAATGAAGATGGTTAGGCGAATTTCATTGCACGAGAAAGGGGCGTCGATTAAGAATTCGACGACTAATAGTCGCAGAAGAAAAGACGTCTAAGTATGTAGAAACAACGAAAGGCCACCATTCCCACGGTACGTGTGAAGTAGAATGAATCGCATTTTTTATCGAATTTTATCATGAACTGTCACTTTACAAAATTTAACTGATAGAAGTACATTAAAAAGAGATCCACAGCCGGTAAGTGCATAAAAATAGTCGGAAAAAGCCCCGTGTCCCGCAACGACGGACCGGCAAAGATGAGTCAGGGTTTTGAAAAATAACCCTGCACTATGAACAGATGACAAACCAAAACGGGTGAGTATATACAGACCGGAATGTGTGGATGTCTGGTGAGTCATACACGTTCAGTTGGGTTGCTCATGTACCAGTCACTGAATTCTCTGCTGGTTGGGGCAAGGGTAAAGTGACAGTTGATTTAAGAGCCACTACCTCGGGAGCCAGCTCGTTTCCACCGATTTCAGAAACTTTGTTTGTGGCATCAGGATTATTAGTAGACAAATTGTGGCCTTCTGTCATCACTTCGCATTCTGAAGTTTGGTACAAAAGTTCGGCCTGCTCTGATTCAAGGTTCTTCTGTTGAAGTTTCTCAAGAAAATCCAAACATTCAGCTGAACTGAGTTTGACTGTGAGACTCACCCGTGGATCACAACCAGGATGTGTGAGTTCGATGTGACGGACTAAGTGATCTTTTCTATAATATGCCTTATCGCAAATCTTGCATACAAACGGCTTAAATCCAACATGACGTAGGGAATGACGCTGTAGATTCGACCGCTGAGTGAATTGGGCCCTGCAAATGGTACATCGGAAGCCTCGGTGAACAGAAAAGGTGTGTGCACAAAGGAGATTCAGTGATGCAAAGTCTTTTCGACACTGATTGCAGATAAACGATTTACCAAAGCGGCGGTTAAGCGAGTTGTTGTCTGTGAAGCATGCCGGGGATGTGGTTTGTTCCGACGCTTGTGACGGTTCTGGTGGTCGAGTGTGAATAGAGGGAACTGGTTGTGACAGAGTGGTGGGCATGGAAAAAACGGTGGTAACGCACGCGGGTCGGTCGATGCCGACTCGCGGAAGGATTGGGCGAGGTAAGGTAGAAAGGACAGTGACCGGTAGGGAAAATAAACTCACTCTAGGGAGTAAAGTAACTGCTGAGACGGGTAGAATAACACTGTCTGATAGTCCATTTTGGGTGATTGGCAACACCTCCACTGATGTAGGAGCTACACTCACCAGTGGTTGCTGTTCGGGCGGCGAGTGACTCTGAACTGGCGAGTCCTCTTTAAATAATTTGGCATTAGGACTCGAGGAACGAAATGGTACAGGTTCCATCACACCATTCTGAGGAATTTTACATGGTCTGCACAGCTTGCGTTTTCGACGAGATCCATGTTCGACGCTCTCACTTTGTTCTGTAAGGCAAGTGCTGTCCTGTGACTTGGGTGGACTTGGTGTCGAATCAGCACGTCCCGGGGTTTCGACGAACCCCGAGTCCGACAACCGAGATTTCTGATCTAGACCATAAGCCTTGACTTCGTTTTGATTCAAGACATCCCTTTTGTCAATACGTCGATTCACGAGAAGACAGTTCATCTTTTCCTGGTCCGCTTGATAGACAACGATTGCTTGCAATTTGATGGATTTATTGAATGGAGGTAGTATCTTTTCAATGAGCAACTTCGACAGTTCTTCTTCTTCTTGTGTTGGTTCCCTATTGGTTGTTTTGGAAATCGATACTATTGATTGTTGAATGGACTCACAAAGACTCCGCTCAGGTGGGCCCTCAGTGGAGGGTACTGAGTAAGATGCCATCGGGATATCCTCCAACCTGAAAAGAGTAAGTCCAGAAGTAAGATTTCCTGCAATTGACTGATCCCACGAGTACGATAAAGAAGTTCAACTGAAAAAGCACCGTGTTAAAAAGGCCATTTGGAGCACTATTTCTGGCCTTCATAAGAAGGCTGGCCAAAAACCAGCGAGTGTAAACTGACTGAGTGGATATCGGAACAGTCAGACTGATTTCGATACGAGCATAGTGTAAGCTTGGTACTTTGGGCGCTGCGTGCCAGTTCTAACCACAAACCCAGGAAATTTGCGTGCGCCAACCAGCGCGGTTGTATTAGCTTCAGTACATCTGCGTTTGTGTGCGTGTGACAGCCAATACGTGGTTGAACACAACGACCTCACTATTCACAGCCTAACACCACGTTTAGCGATGGTGCGCATGGGCTGAGAATCGGATTGGTCGACCCACTCTTCTCTGCTCAGGACACGCTGTGTTTGGTCCGCAAGCGCGGCGGTTGTGTGCGATAGAGAAATCGATAAGCAATCTACCCAGCTTGCAACGCTAACAATGAATCCAATGACGAGAATAAACACCGAATGGAATTTAAGTACCCCGTACTTGAGGAAGATATATGAGCAAGAGGTGCACAAAAGCTAAACTCTGTGTACAGCGGAGTTAGCTACTCCCTGATAGATTTAATATACAGTACGTCAGATGAGTTTGGCACAGAGAAACACATAAGGCAGCTATGCATTTCGCGAACATAAGTGAAAAAATAATCTACATTGTTTTACTCAGAATGAGTCCGATATTCGACAGTCAAGTGCCCACTCAGATCTACGTCCAGGCGACTTTCTCACAGAAGTCTGGGGCCTCAGCTAGTCAATCTGGGTTTCCTCGAGTAATGCTACCAGATCCATATAGTTATCACAATCCTATTATTCACGTAGAAATATACACAAAACTACCTCCCTCCAATCGAAGGGAATGCGCTCGATACTAAGCTAACCTAATTACATTGCAAAGCTGAAGTTCGTCTCGCTTTGGTGCGGCAAGTAAAGAGCTTTGGGGATCTACTCTGCATGACATATAAGCCGCTTCAGAGAGCCAACAAAGCACTTCCCTACGAGATATGTTAGTGGCGGAAGGGATATTTGGCCTCTCTTGTGATCGGTCTGTTTTAGAGGGAATCGCACGATGCGTAGTGGATAGCGAGGAATGGTGCTAAGAGCTCTTCGAAATGGTAACTCTTTTGGGAAGCTCCAGGACACCACACCGAAGGTAGCCCAGAATACGGCCGTAATTGAATGAAACATGCTCAGAATGTGACAGGCCTTACTGCTATTGTATGTTAACTGAAGTAAAGCCGCTCCCGGGTTATCCACAACGGTGTCTACCAATATCCAGGATATAAGGTGATCCTTCGAAGACAGGCCATCCCATAACTGGGGCCACTGAACTATTTCCACATGTTGAGAAGTACGATTTGTAAACCAGAAACAGTCATCCAATCCACAAAAATTTATTTTATAACCACCATCCTCTCACAAGGACGTTTTTCAGTTCCCATGACCACCCAGCAGTGTTGTGAGTAGCAGTCTTTTAGTCATGGCAACTTATGAGTAAATCTCGAGTGTAACCGCTAGCTGACGCCGCCAGTTTCGACACTGACTAGTTCCAAAATGAGACTAGCTTTGATCAGTAGCTTCAGTAGTGTGGAAACTGTGCTCCTCTGGCACTCATAGTACACTGTGGCTGCCCTTGTTCACACAAAAGATTTCTTAGACTGGGAATGTCTTTCGGGTCAAATGAAGTCTGTGTCGTTTACTACGCTATTTTTGCAGAAGCTGCTCATCTTCGGTATTTGGAGGAGCACTAAACAAACTTGAATTTCTTGAATAATAACCTGAGAGTCGAGAAGTAGAGTTTTGTTGGAAGTAGCCACTAGAAAAAACATTTGGATGAAAATACCGTGCCAGATCAATGGTGACAAGCTACGGAGCCACCAGGCTTTGATAGCTATGAGGAAATCGGTTGCTCGTACCAGGGTCACTATCTGAATTTCTGTTGCTTGGCAAGTAGGATACGGTGACAGAATTCTTAGTTTACTGAAGTCACGATGGAGATTTAAGTTCAATCGTCTTGTTACTATAAAGCTATTCCACACGCAGTTGACGAAATACATTTTTAAATCCATGTTAACCACTTTAACCCAGTTGCTGAGGTGACACTCAGATTACGTCGTAATCTGGAGATATGAACGTGCTTGCCGAAATATTTGCTGTCATGGACTGAAATACGAATAGTCAACAATCTACTACAGTTAGACAACAGAGCTTGTCGTGGAATCTGTCTAATATGAACCCCTGATTCGTTCCTCCTCCTTTTTCTTAAGGATTTTAGTTGATTTAGTGCACGGATGAAATTGGAATTGTCAGCTCAAAAGCAGACAGCAGTAAGGCCCCATCGATCGTCTGGGCTCTCATTGAAGAAGTCTTCTCGAATCTCCCAAATGACCAAAGATTTGTACGGTGTGACAGGAAAAACGGAGTATGTATCCCATCACCAGAGTGCCCTAGGATACATAGGACTGATAACCGCTAAAGCCCTAACGACAAGAGTCCCACACAGACTATTGATTCGCATTGGTGGCTGTATCAAGATCTGTCATGTGACTTGCAGTAATGAAGCATTCCCCACCGGATGCGTTGAACAGCTAGTTGCTAATCTCTCATGGGTGTATGGGTGCACATGTGTGCAAACTTCAAACGACTGTTCCCGAGCAGACACTGCATCCACTGGTTAGTGCTATCAGTCTCGCAAGGCACACCGCACCATAGCTGGTTACCGCTACCTTAAGTATACACAAACACACCCAGGCACCCACACGGCTGCACACGCACAATCACACTGTTGTCACCATGGGGCCCCAACAAACTTCGACCGGGTTAGGAATTGTCTAATCGATGCGGCTTTTTGCATTAACAGTCGATGGTGTACTGACCATTCAAGCAAACCATCACGCGTATGACAAGACTGAAGTACAAACAGCGTCACCACTAGATCCTTCGCAGCACTAAGGAGAGAATCGCGAAGTGGACACCAGATATCCCTGTAACTCGAAGTTTGAAAATCTTTCCAAAAATGACCTGAGTTTGAATGAACTTTCATGTCTTTTACAAGTGACCAGTTGTAAGCAGTATGCTCTGTTGTTATTGTTTTTTTTTCAGATCACTTGCCTGAGTTATCAGTGCAATGAAAACGGTCTTCCCTACTTCGCGTGTACGGTTTACCTCTCTACGGCATTTAACACATCGTAGTAGGAGTTTCATTTGTAACATGGCAGTCTACGTTGTCCAACCGTTAAAGTGGATTAGCAAAGGGATTTTCGACTGTGAACCCCTCAGAAAATTACCTGAACTGGTGAGTCTGATATCAGAAGTAACAAAGGTAACATCATACGGTAGCCAAAATAAGATTCCATCCTGTCAACCCTGAAAAACGTAGGAGTAGACTAGCGCCCACTGGCAAAATACCTTGGTATCTACAGGAGACTCAACCAGATAAGAACTGAATCTCTCGTTCATGCTGATGGTGATTGGAACTAAGGCATTGCGCTTATCTGATTCGCCCCCAAGACGGGGCTATCAAAGGGCTCTCAGAAATATTGTGGTTGCTGTTGTGGGAAAAAAACTTCAATACCCTAAATATTTTATAAACCAGAACATTTCTGAGAAAGCACACAACAAAATCCACGTTGAACAAACGGAGCAAACTTTTGTAGTTAAAACGTTGAGCATATTACCTAAGGAAGAAATACATTTTGGTTGCTAAAATCCAGACTGTGACCGACCTAGAATGTCTTGTACGCCCAAAACAATAGTTTTTCGAACAATTAAAGAAGGTTCAAAAAGGTGTGTTATGAACCTCATCCACCTCGGGAAAAATCCTAAATGAAAGTTCTCCTTAGTGATCCCTAGACTTGAACAGGAGGGAATTTCTGGTTCCCCAGATGGCTAGTTTGTTCTCAAAGAGAAGGAAAGACCACACAACACTGTAGATGTGTATATTAATACAGATCTACTTCGCTGCATCTCTTCAGGCGCATACTGCAGTCAACGGTTATCCACCGGTGTTTGTACGGAAACACAATACCGAACGCCTGTACTAGACAATGTGATCTCAGTTCCAAAAATCATGGCGTTCCGATGCCAGACGTGTAGAGACGATCTTAGTGAGCTTTTGGAACATAGTCTCACATTTGTAGTAAAGTGCATTTACTATGCTACAAAACAACCTCTTCTCAGCATGTGTAATCGCACTTCCGGCCCGTCGATCACGAGATCTCCATCTCCATTCGCCTCCCAAATTCCGTTTCACGTGTAGGTGCTTCGCCACCTACAGGAAGCCAATTCGATCAGGGACAGCCGAACAAATCCCGGCTGGAGTGAAGAGCCTTTGTCGAGGTAGGTGCGATTGCAAAAAGGAAACCGGAGCTGTGAAGATGTAGACAATTATCCGTCACACCGATGCTACCCAGGCGATTTGGAGATTGAATCACTAAAAGTCAATCAGGGTTTCCCGTGAATCGTGTTTTCATTTTTCGTTTATTACGCTGACTTGAGTGTGCAAGCGAAGGACCGCTGTGAAATACATCCTAATTATTGTGTAATGTGTGCTGTTTTCAAGTTCGTTACGTATGAAGGTTGCTTGACCATTTGCCCATATTATTAGCCGACTCAACTTTCAGATAGTCTATGTCACATGTACAGATGATATACGGAATTGTCACACAGGTACTGAGCTGAACATAGTTGGTAACTTGGGTTTTTGTAAGTAGGCGGAATCATTCGTTGGGACACTTTACGACTGGAATATTGGCGAAGGAAATCAAAGCTGAACGACAGGATGAGAACTCAATACTTCATAATTTTTTTATACGAGAATACGTCTTCGTGACATCCTCCCGTCTTTAGTGGTCCTAATTCAGTTTGTGCTTGTGGAGAAAGCAGTAGATCCTAATGACGTGGATGAACAGAGCTA